GTCTATATCATATACGTTTTAAATAATATGGCAACAGCCAACAACTATGTAAACTTATAGGTTCCACGCAAACGAATCTCCTTCAAAACCTTCACATCATAAATAATATAAATATAATTTATAATATGATAGGTATTACATCTGTACCTGCAGATACTTGGCAAGTTATACTTCCAAGTTCCAATTTATTTTCCTCCATAATATAATATGAGTAGGTATATTGAATCATACATATTGTGGGATACACAGACACGGTTATTTTACAATCTGCAGAAATCTTTTTTCACCAGGATTAACTTTTATCCTAAGTATTATTTATGTGACGGTTGTCTTGCAGGAACCTTTCTCGTAGTATTATTATACTCGTTATTTATTTTTTATTTTTTGTCTGTCTACTCACAGAATCAGAGCGGAATTTACTACGACGTGGATTACGAACAACAGCAGGGCGAAATGACGTTCTCACCCGGTTGCATTCCACTGAGCACGTACACCATTGGCAGCCGCTCAAACTACTACAGATGATGACAATGAAGATTTTGCAGACGACGATGCCGATGACGAAAATCTCGTGATGCATTAAACTTGACGATCATCGCTCGTGTACTATATTTATTATTATTATTATCATCGTTTAAACTTTAAGCGACACAGACTGAGGACATAAAACGCGTWTACGCGTCACCCAATAAAATAATAATAATGTATATCTACATTGTTGTTGTTGTATACCCTACATATAAATAATATATAATATGCCATTAATGAAAAAAAACCAAATGTGTAATAATAATTATGACAGTTATAATTATTATATTATGTTGAATATTTATTTTCACGAACTAGTATACAAATAAGCGTCTGAGCTGTAGGTATATTATAATTTATAATAAAATAGTTATGTTTTTGTAATAAATACAATWATACAATACCTATATAATATTAATTAATTATAAATTATAATGTAACACTATTTGGACTTGTCGCACTTTGCGCTTTTGGCGTGACGTCACTGACCAGTTGACTTGGTGATGTCACCCCGAGAGCGGCCAAAGACATTATGTATTTATGTTTACCTATCAATCAATATCAACGACCGTTACACGATAAAATAATATGTAATATTTGTCGGTGCATAAAAATTATATGTAACGTAGATTGGTAAATATTTTTAATAATATTTCTGTATATAATATTATTGTATGTATATAAAATAATAAATGTGGACAAGTATCGGAAATATCTATATAATATATGCGTATATAATATATTATATAATAGACCTAGCCGCCTAAGTATTGGTTACATACTTAATACAATATAGGTAATATTTGAGCTTAATTGCGTAATTGTTCGCATCAACTTGATATTATACCTATTATAGTATCGTCCGTCTTAATATAAATATCAACGATTTAACGTTTATCAATAGACTATAGTGCCATATAAACGTCTGCGCACATTCAAAAAAACAACTTTATATGATATTTTGTTATAAGTATACAAGCTCCCTAACCTATATGTAAACGATTTATGATTATTTTACTTACTGGAAAGGTCGGATTTTGGATTTTCTTCTCTTATTTTTATTTTTTTTTTCACCACACTGCAGGCCAGAACATAATGTAATACTTATATAAGACCGTAATCGAAGGCTAAGAACATAAAAATTTTCTATATTTTTATAGGTACACGTGTGTACACTTTATTATTTATTATAATTTTATAATTATTATTATTATTGTTTAATTCTGTAAGTCTCAACTTGAATCATATATATGTTGTATTATTACCTTATAATTTTATAGCTAATTATATTTATTTATATAATGGAAGATTATAATATTACTATTCTACATTGTATGCGTGTTATAAAAATATATAATTGTATATTTTAGTTAGTTTAAAAAACACGTTTTATTCATAAATAAATGCGAATGATAAAATGTTTATTATAAGGCGGAGGAAGAAGCTAAGTGATGCATTGACAACACTACGGTCACTACGTATTTTGGGGCGAGGCCCTAAATTTTTTTTCTCAGTGTGCCATAAAATTATAAAGAACAATAAGTAGACATTAGACCCTCCTAACCCTGCAGGGGCCCCGAGCATTTGCACGGAGTGACCTCTCCCCCAAGCACCGCCATTGAAGTGATCCATAAATCTCCCGGGCTATACCAATAAATAATGAACAAACAATAAAATATATGTGTTATAGTGTTTTAACTGTTTTAAGTCTTAATTAGTTGAGATTATTGTCATATGAGCTGATTAAGGATGAAGTCTATATCAAACACAAGAAACTCGTCGTTTAACGGAATAACGATTGGTATTTGGTATTTTTATACCAACTAGCTGTACTCACACACTTTGTAGCCCTGCTTTAAGAAGCCTACCTCTTAAATGTCCCAAACTGTGTGTTGAATTCGTTACTTCTGATCATGCTTGCAGTATTTTTATATACGAGTATATGTACGTATATACGTATAATGGTTAAAACTTAAAAATGTCAAGTAATAATCTTTCACTGATAATMAATTTAGTTTATTATTATGTAATTTTATTCGTTTTATTGAGAAAAGTCAGACAATTCAATATTATTCAATTGAATGATATTTATTAAAATGCATTTGGATACACAATATTTTTTTTTCTGGTGCGTACACAAATAAATTAAAAAGTTTTCCGACGCGGAGTATACCATATGTCCATGTGAGAAGCATGGATTTTCCAAATTCAGTCCATACACTTATAGCGATTGTCCTTGTGCTTTKTTGATGGTCATTGCAAAGGCGTGTCACGCCGGAAAGTTAGTAAGTTTTGCAGGTTGTACCATATGGATCATRATTTACAAAAATATATAATATTTAAGTAGAAAGTAGAAAATAAGAGTTTCCGATTAAGCATAAAATATACACTTACACAAAATAAGAAGTCCTGATGANTGACTAATTCACAACACACTGGCTAAACTATTATTGCCATACCAACTTAAAAATGTCAGGATATATGTTTTWATTTTAGTGTAACCTGGTCATCAGGGATGACCAGTAAAATATATGATATTCAGGGAAAAAGTTAGTTTATTTTGAATAATAAATTTTAACCGTTGCCCGGGAACATGAAAGGTATTCAGGATTTTAATATTACACATAAATACAGATGAGTTATTTTATTTAAATRATTTACAAGTCTCACCAGAATTTGATCTACTACGTATGTAAATGTAACGATCCCCAAAATCAAAATTTAAGGCACCTAGTTGGGTCCCAAATAAAATATCTTATGAAGATAAGTTACTTATTGATTAGGTCCATAAAGAAAAATTATAATGTTTACCTATAGTCATAATTATGGCTATGCTCTATGTGTGGATTGATTTGGATTTGTGATTCGAGTGCGTCCCTAGTCTCTGATCTTATAATAATCTATTATACTACCTATGTATTATTCTAATATTTCTAATATTCTATGATTGATAACATAATATATAATCTATGGCACAATTCAATAYAAATTAGGTATTCTACTTGTATTCGGTCCTAYGTGATACGTACCCCTTWGGATGTATCAAAAGTCCTGTTAACTATTTTTAYTTTAATATATAGTAACTTTTCGTCGCGATGTAACAGCCGTAAATTTGTATGTYCTCTCCCACAATTTTAGTTGCTTTATTATTTGATATATTAAAGTGTCATATTAGGGCTAACGGTAGTCGAGGAATACATTCAATGTATAAAACCGGTGTTTCGAAACATCATTTAATTTATA